CAGTCTGGGCAACATAGTGAGACCCCCATCTCTACAAAAAATAAAAATTAAAAATTAGCCAAGCATGACAGCTGAGATTATTCTGGTGGTTACTCTTTAATTTTTTTTTTTTTTTTTTTTTTTTGAGACGGAGTCTCGCTCTGTCGCCCGGGCTGGAGTGCAGTGGCCGGATCTCGGCTCACTGCAAGCTCCGCCTCCTGGGTTTACGCCATTCTCCTGCCTCAGCCTCCCGAATAGCTGGGACTACAGGCGCCCGCCACCTCGCCCGGCTAGTTTTTTGTATTTTTTTTAGTAGAGACGGGGTTTCACCGTGTTAGCCAGGATGGTCTCGATCTCCTGACCTCGTGATCCGCCCGCCTCGGCCTCCCAGAGTGCTGGGATTACAGGCTTGAACCACCGTGCCCGGCCACTCTTTAATTATTAAGACCTATTCTTATGTTTATTTTTTCTGTCAATTCCTTAAATTTTCAAAATTGATATTATCCCCCTTTACCAAATAAATTCCTCAGTATTAATTTATCAAGTTACCTCTCCCATGTTGATACCATCTCTAATTTTCTTTGCTTTTTTTTTTTTTTTCTTTTTTGAGATGGAGTCTTGCTCTGTCACTCAGGCTGGAGTGCAGTGGTGCGATCTCGGCTCACTGCAACCTCCGCCACCAGAATTCAAGTGATTCTCTTGCCTCAGCCTCCAGAGTAGCTAGGCTAACAGGCGCATACTACCATGCCCAGCTAATTTTTGTATTTTTAGTAGAGACAGGGTTTCACCATGTTGACCAAAATGTTCTCAATCTCCTGACTTTGTGATCTGCCTGCCTCAGCCTCCCAAAGTCTTGGGATTACAGGCGTGAGCCGCCGTGCCCAGCCTATATATATATATATATATATATATATATATATATATATTTTTTTTTTTTTTTTGAGATGGAGTTTTACTCTTGTTGCCCAGGCTGGAGTGCAATGGCACGATCTCAGTTCACTGCAACCTCCGCCTTCTGGGTTCAAGCGATTCTCCTGCCTCAGCCTCCCGGGTAGCTGGGATTACAGGCATGCACCACCATGCTTGGCTAATTTTGTATTTTTTTCAGTAGAGACGGGGTTTCACCATGTTGGCCAGGCTGGTCTCGAACTCCTGACCTCAGGTGATCTGCCCACCTTGGCCTCCAAAAGTGCTAGGATTACAGCATGAGCCTCTGCACTCAGCTTTTTGTTTGTTTTTTTAAACAGAGTCTTGCTCTGTAGCCTGGGCGCAGTGCAAAGTCTCAAAGATGGCTCACTGCAGCCTCAAACTCCTGAGCTCAAGTGATCCTCCTGCCCCAGCCTTCCAAGTAGCTGGTGATACAGAGCTGGCAAGTCTCAAAATTGGGGCTTAGCCCAGAAGGGATCTTGGCTTCTCCCAGGAAAGAATCAAGGGCAATATGGTGGTAAAAGAAAGCAATTTGCAACTTCATCGAAGCAGCAGAGTACAGCAGCAATAGCAAGGTGCTACTCCTTGCAGAGCAAGGTTAACCCACACGCAGTGTGCCCAGAGTAGCAGCATATGGCCTGTTAGCAGCTGTATTTCTACCCACTTCATGTGTCTGTGTGTGTGTTTTTTTAAGTATATAACCACTTTTAATTACTTGCAAATTAAGGGTGGGTTATTCAGAGCTTTCTAGAAAAGGGGCAGGAAGTGTATGAAACCATATATAGTAACTTTCAAGTCGTTGCCATGGCGTGTTGCCATGGAATTTGTACACTGTCATTGCGCTGGTGGGAGTCTCTTATGTTAATGAGCAGTGAGGGCAACTAGAGGTCACTTTTGTCACCATCTGCTGATTGGTGGGCTTCTTCACTGTACCTTGTTTCTTTTTTTTTTTTTTTTTTGAGACGGAGTCTTGCTGTGTCTCCCAGGCTGGAGTGCAGTGGCGTGATCTCGGCTCACTGCAAGCTTCGCCTCCCGGGTTCACGCCATTCTCCCGCCTCAGCCTCCCAAGTAGCTGAGACTACAGGCGCCCGCCACCACGCCCGGCTAGTTTTTTGTATTTTTAGTAGAGACGGGGTTTCACCATGTTAGCCAGGATAGTCTTGATCTCCTGACCTCGTGATCCACCCGCCTCGGCCTCCCAAAGTGCTGGGATTACAGGCTTGAGCCACCGCGCCCGGCCACTGTACCTTGTTTCTATCAGATCCTGCTCCAGCCAGCAGGGTCCTGGCCAGGGTCATGACTAGGGTTGGGAAAACAAGTCCTGCTGATTCCTACCTCCCTGGAACTACAGGCACATGCCACCACACCCATTCAGTTTTTAAATTTTTTATCTATAAGAGATCATGTTTTGTTGCCCAGACTGGTCTCTAACTCCTGGCCTCAATCACAATTATTTTAAAATCTATTCAGTTCTAAGGCCGGGCACAGTGGCTCACGCCTGTAATCCCAGCACTTAGGGGGGCAGAAGCTGGCAGATCACTAGAGGCCAGGAGTTCAAGACCAGCCTGGTCAACATGGAAAAACCCTGTCTGTACTAGAAATACAAAAATGATCTGGGCGCTGTGGTGCACGCCTATAGTCCCAGCTCCTTGGGACTCCTGCTGAGGCAGGAGAATCCCTTGAACTTGGGAGGCAGAATTTGCAGTGAGCCCAGATCGCACCACTGTACTCCAGCCTTGGTGACAGAGTGAGACTGTCAAAAAAAAAAAAAGATAATTTGAGGTTTTGGATTATGTTATCTTCCTTCAGAAAGAAATTACTTTTGCTGGCCAGGCATGGTGGCTCACGCCTGTAATCCCAGCAGTTTGGGAGGCCAAGGTGGGTGGATTACCTGAGGTCAGGAGTTCGAGACCAGCCTGACAAACTTGGTGAAACCCCATCTCTACTAAAAATACAAAAATTAGCCAGGCATGGTGGCACGTACCTGTAATCCTAGCTACTCAGGAGGCTGAGGCAGGAGAATCTCTTGAATCTGGGAGGTGGATGTTGTGAGCTGAGATTGCTCCACTTCTCCAGCCTGGGCAACAGAATAAAACTCAGTCAAGAACCCCGGAGATGGAGGTTGCAGTGAGCTGAGATCACTCCATTTCCAAAATAAAACGATAGGGCTGTTAATTTAGGTGGTGGTTACAGGGGTATTAATATATGTAAAAAATTATTAAGTTGTACATGTAAGATTCCTGCACTTTTTGTATTTTATTATGTGTATGTTAATCTTAAAAATAAAAGGGGAGAAAAACTTGATGGCTCTGTACTCCTCTATTAGGTAAAGAAAGAATCTGTTCTGGTTTGCTTTTGGAGACACTGTTTCCTGGTCCTCTGATCTACCTGGCTGAAAGCACAGTGCCTGGTACAAACTAGGCTCCTACTCAGTTTTGAATTAACGAAGTTCAGTGACATTGCCATTCTTTTTTTTTTTTTTTTTTTGGACAGGGTCTCGCTCTGTCGCCCAGGCTGGAGCGCAGTGGCACGATCTCAGCTCACTGCAACCTCTGCTTCCCAGGTCCAAGCAATTCTCCTGCCTCAGCCTCCCCAGTAACTGGGATTTCAGACGTGCAGCACCAAGCCTGGCTAATTTTGGTATTTTTAGTAGAGACAGGGTTTCACCATGTTGGCCAGGCTGGTTTCAAACTCCTGACCTCAAGTGATCTGCCTGCGTTGGCCTCCCAAAGTGCTGGGATTACAAGCATGAGCCATCACGTCCGGCCTGTCATCCTATTTTATCTCATCTCCTCCTCCTCCCTTCTCCGACCACCTTCTCTAGAGTAAAAGATCTTTGCTCTCAATTTTGGAACACTTAAAATTCCTTCAGTCACTCTTGTTAGGAAGATATAAGGGAAGAGAGCGAGAGACAGGAGGCAACTTAACGGCCAAACAGGATTATTCACAGGAATAAGCCTGCGAGGGGTTCCAGTCAGGAGTCTGGCTGAGACCCTGATCGCTTACAAGCTGAGGCTTTTATATTGGGGAGGGGTTGGGAAGCGCTGGCTGATTGGGACTGTTGGGGACTTTGTTAGGCTATGTTATCTTCTGTTGAAGCTATGGGCAGGGTTAACATTTGCTTTGTCATCATTGTTGTAAAATAGCATCACTACTGTTACTCCTCACAACTCTTACCTGGGATCAGTGAAAACCACTGTTGTTGAGAACTCTTACAGAATTTCTGAGCTCTTATCTAAATCATCTGTCGAGTCTTTGCAATGACCTACCAGGCTGGTAGGAAACCGGGGCTCATAGTAATTAACCAAGGTCACACTGTTAGAATGCTGTGGGTCTGGGACTAGAATTTGATATTTAGTCTGGGCCCCGTCTCTGTCCCCAACGATCAAACCACAAGTTAAAATTCCAAATTGTGGGCCGGGCGCGGTGGCTCACGCCCGTAATCCCAACACTTTGGGAGGCCGAGGCGGGCGGATCACGAGGTCAGAAGATTGAGACCATCCTGGCTAACACGGTGAAACCCCGTCTCCACCAAAAATACAATAAATTAGTCTAGCGTGGTGGTGGGCGCCTGTAGTCCCAGCTACTCGGAAGGCTGAGGCAGGAGAATGGCGTGAACCTGGGAGGCGGAGCTTGCAGTGAGCTGAGATCGTGCCACTGCACTCCAGCCTGGACGACAAAGCGAGACTCCGTCTCAAAAAAAAAAAAAAAAAAAGGAAAGAAAAAAAATGCTGTGTTATCTTACAACACCTTTCCCAGACTGTGAGCAACTTGGGAACAATGATTATCCACCTCAGTGTTCCATGTGTTTTGTAGAGGAGGGCACTCACTAAAAACATGGTTTGCTGAATGCAACCACTTAAGAATTGGACATGCCGTGCTCAACCCCTAAGGGGCGCTGTGCTGGTCCAAGGAGCAGCGTGACCGGCGGAAGGGAGTAAGTCGATGTCCCCGGCATGTGGCGCGGAGAACTCCACTTGCCGGCAAGCGAAGAAGCAGGAGAAGACCACGCCCCCGCTCGTCGCGCATGCGCAGCCTTCGCTGGCTCCGCCCCGTCCTATTCGGGCTCCTGCCTCTGTTCAGGTAGGGGCGGTATGCGGGGGAGGGGCGTCACCTGAGGGCGGGGCTCTCAGGTCTTGGGGATCCATTGTTGGCTAACCCCAACTTCCGATACGACCCGGAGCTGTTCCTGCAGTTCCGGAGACAATTCATGGGTCTTGGGGGCACCGAGACGCTGCCCCTGACCAGCACAAGACCCCTTTCTATGGCGCCAGTCCTGTGGTCTCCGCACCTCTCCAGCTCCTGCACCCCCGGCCCCGTGGTTTCCAGCCGCACAATCGCGTGTCCTGAGTAGCGTGAGGACACGGGGCTGGGCAGGTGCCAGGAGCCCGCCGCCTCTCCTCCTCCCCCGCCCGCCGCCTGGCCCTCCCCTACCAGGCTGAGCCTCTGGGTGCTAGAAGCGCGGGGCCTCCGGGGGAATACGTGCGGTCCCTCGCTCCGCGTGCGCCTACGCCTTCTGCTCCAGTTGCTTTACCAATTGAGCGGAAAAGCCGGGGCATGTTGCCGGGGCCCTGGGCGGGACTGTTGTGCACCTTCCCGCCCACGGGCTGCCCAGTCCCTCTGCTTGCGGCCCCTGCCAACGTCCCCCAGGTTGGAAACCAGACCCTGCAGCCCCCAGCCAGCCCAAAGGAAGCCCAGACTGACGTCGCAGGGTAATGGGGATCCAGAGGTAGCTCTGTGGGGCCCCATCAGAGCTTAGCAGGGCTTTCTGTGTGACACCGTGGGACCTGAACTGGGGAGGTCCCCTTTGCTTAGAATTACAGGGGGCAACTGTAGGAAACAATTACATCTATTATGTGCTAAGGATTGAGAGTTCCATGGATTGAGGCCCTCTCTAGAAGGCTTAGAAGTGGGGTAGACGGGGTGTGTGTCTGACTTTGTGTTTTGCTGGGGTGGTGGTGAGTGGGTGTAGAAACTAACCTAGTGCCAAGTGCAGTGTCTGTCAACTAGTAAGTTAATAAACCTTCCATGAATGAATGAGAAGGTTCTGTGACTGAGGGAGCAGGGCTAGAGAGGGCATCTCTGCTCATCCCCCCCCTGCCTCCCCTGGGCTCATGCAGACAAAAGTAATTAGGTTGAACCTTTAATCAAAGCTGGTTTCACAGGCAAGCAGACATGATAGAGGAGGTAAAGGCAGAAATCCTGGGGACACAGGGTGCTGGCCTGGCTCACAGGCATGCCTCCTTCTGGGACCTCCTCCACCCCCTGCAGTTTGGTGATCAGTAATCTCTTGTTTTCTTGTTTCCCTCAGGACACTGGGTCCCCTAGGAGCCTCCCCAGGCTTAATGATTGTCCAGGAGGTGGCTATAAAGGGAGCCTGGGAGGCTGGGTGGAGGAGGGAGCAGAAAAAATCCAACTCAGCAGATCTGGGAACTGTGAGAGTGGCAAGCAGGAGCTGTGGTCAAAGGCTGTGCGTCTTGGCTGGTAGGGCCTGCTCTTTTCTACCATGGCAGCCCAGGGCTATGGCTATTATCGCACTGTGATCTTCTCGGCCATGTTTGGGGGCTACAGCCTGTATTACTTCAATCGCAAGACCTTCTCCTTTGTCATGCCATCATTGGTGGAAGAGATCCCTTTGGACAAGGATGATTTGGGTGAGCCCTGAAACAGCAGGGTGGTGGGCCTGGGGACACAGAACCAGCAGGACACACTGGGTGTTTGTGTACGGGCATGTCGTGTGGGTGGAGTGTCTGTGCAGTAGAGGCCAGGTGCCAGAAAAAGAGGCTCTGAGATCCATGGATGTGGGTGCATGCAGGGCTAAGGAGGGCTGCTTATTTGATGTGTGTGGATGTGTGTGCGCATGCCCCTGGAGGCACTGTTTATTCTGAGAGTGTCTGGGGGCTTCTGAGCATGGTTTTCACATCTGTTTGGGTGCATGTGGAGGCTTCAGGGTGAGTGCTGGCTACTGACACTGTGAGCACTGGAAACTAAAAAGTTGGCACAATGACTTCATGTGGCCTGGCATGCTACCCTTCAGGAGGGACAGGGTCCCTGACTCCAATCCTGAGCCCTTCGCCCCATGTTGGGTGGTGGAGCAACAGAACTGCTAGAGGCCCGGGGTTGGCATCCAGGGTGAGGTGGGAAATCCCATATGCAAATCCCAGGGATGGGGAGCTGCCATGTCCTGCTCCCTTTTTGTTCCCTGACAACTGTAGCTGAGAATCATGGGTCAGTCTGGGGCTAGTGCTGATGGTGAGGCAGGAGAAGTGGCAGAAGTAGTAGGGCCCCATGTGTGAGTGTCCGATTGCGGCGCAGGCTCCTCCTGTTCCTCTGGGAAGTAACCTGTCTCACCCCACTGGGCACCCCTACACACCTGACCCCATGCCTTCTTCCATTGCTCCCGTGTTTCTCCCCTGGTCCCTAACCCCTAAGTGTACTGTTCCCTGCTCCCCTCCCCTGCAGGGCTCATCACCAGCAGCCAGTCAGCAGCTTATGCTATCAGCAAGTTTGTCAGTGGAGTGCTGTCTGACCAGATGAGTGCTCGCTGGCTCTTCTCTTCTGGGCTGCTCCTGGTTGGCCTGGTCAACATATTCTTTTCCTGGAGCTCCACAGTACCTGTCTTTGCTGCCCTCTGGTTCCTTAATGGCCTGGCCCAGGGGCTGGGCTGGCCCCCATGTGGGAAGGTCCTGAGGAAGGTGAGTGTTTCCAAAGAGCCTGTTTGGATTGTCATAGAGGATGCCTAAAGAGCATGTGGGAGCGCCCCTTCTTACCCACCACCTCCATACCCAACCCAGAGCAGGTTCCTGAGCAGTTCCTGGCCAGCTCCTATTGCTTGTCAAGATATTTTAGGAGGCTGAGAGTGGTGGGATCAGGTGGCAGAGGAGGGAACTGCCCTGCCAAACAGAAGCGCCCTCTCCCTCTTCCCTGTAATGTGAGCTTCTAGGGCTGCCCCACCTGACCCCACCCTCAACATGGGCAGTAGGCTGGGCACCTATGTGGTTGCTCTCTGCCCCACAGTGGTTTGAGCCATCTCAGTTTGGCACTTGGTGGGCCATCCTGTCAACCAGCATGAACCTGGCTGGAGGGCTGGGCCCTATCCTGGCAACCGTCCTCGCCCAGAGCTACAGCTGGCGCAGCACGCTGGCCCTGTCTGGGGCACTGTGTGTGGTTGTCTCCTTCCTCTGTCTTCTGCTCATCCACAATGAACCTGCTGATGTCGGACTCCGCAACCTGGACCCCACACCCTCTAAGGGCAAGAAGGGTAAGCCCCCACCCAAGCCAACCACTGGGGCACTCATTCAGCAGGCAGATTTTTGTTGAAGACTAGGCATTTGCCTGGTCCTATGCTAGTCAGTGGATGTGGGGGAAGGAGTGGTAACGAAGGCTGCATGGGGAGTGAGCAAAACTCCATCCCAAGAGGCAGTTAAATACTGGACAAGTGGCAGAGCCAGCAAGAGCTGTGACTCATGTTATTTTCTGGCCTTTCCTCACAACAGCACAGACTTCCCTGTCCTGGATAGATAGAATCATGAGCTTTAGTGGTTTAGGCCTGTTTGATCCTGTTTGTCTTTCATTCATTGAGCTTGGTCCTTAAGTGGCTTGGTCCTCCCTGGTCCTGTTTCTCTTTCATTCATTGAGCTTGCAGAGGAGAAGGGGAGAGGAGAGCAGTGGGGTGAGGGAATACCCTTCACGTTGATCCTGGCTGTGCAGATGGACTCTGCCCCTGTAGCTGGTTAATGAATGTTGGGGGCTCAGGTTGGGGAGAGCAGTCAGAGCCGAGCCTGACACCCAGCCTCTTCCTACCTCCAGGCTCCTTGAAGGAGGAGAGCACCCTACAGCAGCTGCTGCTATCCCCTTACCTGTGGGTGCTCTCCACTGGTTACCTTGTGGTGTTTGGAGTAAAGACCTGCTGTACTGACTGGGGCCAGTTCTTCCTTATCCAGGAGAAAGGACAGTCAGCCCTTGTAGGTAAGATGAGCATGGGGACAAGGGTGGGCATAAGGAGCAAGAACCAATGCAGGGGATGGAAATTCAGGCCTTGCTTCCCTTTATCCTCTTTATTTGTTCTTTGAGGCCGGGCACTACTCAGGCAGCTATGGCCAGTCACCCATGGGAACCCTGTACCTCTCCAGGTTTAAGCCACTGTGGGACAACCCCAATGTGTAACACCCTCCCACCCTTCCCTTCCCTCTTCCTACCACAACTCCCCACTGCAGGTAGCTCCTACATGAGTGCCCTGGAAGTTGGGGGCCTTGTAGGCAGCATCGCAGCTGGCTACCTGTCAGACCGGGCCATGGCAAAGGTGAGTGGGCAGAAGGGACAGGAAGGAGGAGGGTCCCTTTCAGTCTTCACAGCATGGCTGAGACAGGCACTGGAGAGATGGGAGTCCCAGGGCACAGGCAGGTTGGCATCTGCTGGTTTAGACCGGGTGAGGAGGGAACGATTCCGGGCTGGTCTTAGCTTTCCTACAGTTGTGGAGGTAAGCCTCTTGGGAGAATTTTAACTGATGTGAAGGATAGCCAGAATATTTCTTAACTTAGCTATAGGTTTCTCCACAGCCCCAGGAAAACGGGCTGGGAACAGACTAGGTGCACTCCCCAGCACGTGTCCTAGACCTGCCCCATGGGGGAGGAAGGGATGTTGTGGAGTTTGGCCTCAGAATGTAATGAGCAGGTCCCAGGGCCTCCCAGAGCTGCCCAGGGCCAAGAACTGAGGTGGGATTGCCAAAGACCTGTCAGCAGAGTCCCTGCTGTATCAGAGTCCAGGGATGGGGGTTCTCTGCCCTGTTCTGAGGGTGTGACATTGCCGGGACTGTATCCATAGGCGGGACTGTCCATCTACGGGAACCCTCGCCATGGCCTGTTGCTGTTCATGATGGCTGGCATGACAGTGACCATGTACCTCTTCCGGGTAACAGTGACCAGTGACTCCCCCAAGGTAATTAAGAAAGGCCTGGCTCACAGCAGGGCACAAGGAGAGAAGGCAAGGGCCACTGACTCTCTCTTCCTCTCCTGGCTGTAGCCTGGGCCAATCTTTTCTTTGCCTCTCAGATTCCCTTTTCAGTTCTGATTGGACCGTTCCTCTCTGTGTCTGGGTTCTCCTCCTCCACTCTGGGCCTGGTTTTCTTTTCTTCCCTGTGCTCCTCTAGGACGTTGCTTTCTGGACTCCGGCTCTTCACCCTCTCGCAGAGCTCACAGGCTTTACAGAGCATGAGGTGCCTTAAAGATATCTCTGGTTGTTCTCCTAGTCTGTCTTACCTTTGTCCTACCCCTTTGCCTTACCCCTAGCCAGTCCAATTTGTGTGAATCCTGAGGACAGCCTCTAGCTCGGAGGGATGACTTCTGTACCTCCTTTCCTTGCCCACCTAGGTCCCAGGGTTTGCTCAATGTGGCATCTGCTACTCTAGCTCTGTACTGTCAATTGTGTTGGGGAGTGGGAGGAAAAGGGTCACTTACTTACTGTCCCTTTATGACTCCCGTTTGTTCCTGGGGACCAAGCCTCCTTCCTCGCTTTGGCAGCGGTGGGCAGGCAGGTCAGCTTTCCAACTCTGAATGCCACTCCACTCTGCCCTTGGCAGCTCTGGATCCTGGTATTGGGAGCTGTATTTGGTTTCTCCTCGTATGGTCCCATTGCCCTGTTTGGAGTCATAGCCAACGAGAGTGCCCCTCCCAACTTGTGTGGCACCTCCCACGCCATTGTGGGACTCATGGCCAATGGTAAGTGTTACTTTCTAGAGTCTCTCCCTCACCCTGACCCGTGCTTTGCATATAAACCAGTGAGAAGCTGGAGCTAGCACCACTGGCTTAGGTTCATCCCCTTCCTCCTGACAGTGGGCGGCTTTCTGGCTGGGCTGCCCTTCAGCACCATTGCCAAGCACTACAGCTGGAGCACAGCCTTCTGGGTGGCTGAAGTGATTTGTGCAGCCAGCACAGCTGCCTTCTTCCTCCTACGAAACATCCGCACCAAGATGGGCCGAGTGTCCAAGAAGGCTGAGTGAAGAGAGTCCAGGTTCCAGAGCACCATCCCACGGTGGCCTTCCCCCTGCACGCTGTGGGGGGGAGAAAAGGCGGGGCCTGCTTGGCTAGCCCTGAACCTTTCACTTTCCATTTCTGCGCCTTTTCCCTCACCCAGGTGGCGCTGGAAGCTATCAGTGGCTAGTGAGGTCCCAGTTTCCCCGGTCCTATGCTCTATTTAAAAGATAACCTTTGGCCTTAGACTCCATTAGCTCCTATTTCCTGCCTTCAGACAAACAGAAAACTTCTGCAGTCAGGAAGCCTCCTGTACCCTTCTTCTTTTCCTAGGCCCCATCCTGTCCCCATCCTACCCCATCCCCACCTGAAGTGAGGCTATCCCTGCAGCTGCAGGGCACTAATGGCCCTTGACTTCTGCTGGGCCCTAAGTCCTCTCAGCAGTGGGCGACAGCTGTTGCCAATACCTCAGACTCCAGGGAAAGAGAGGCGGCTATCACTCTCACTGTACCACTAGGCGCAGTTGGGTATAGGTGGGAAGAAAAGATGACTTGTTATAGGAGATTAAAACTAGATTTGATACTGAACACTGTCAGTGACTCATTTTTTCAAAGTGAGACAGCTTCCTTGGGAAATACTGTTGATACCTGCTCTTGCCACCCCAAAAGGGAAAGACTTCATTTCCCTGGAATCGGGAAGCTGAAGTGTAGATGGACTCCTTTAAAGCTCATGCCTCCTCTGCCTTCACCTGAACATTGAATAGTTCAATGACTATTTTAGAGATAAAGCTATTGGGTTGTGGACAGGTGAAATAACTTGATGGAGGGAGGAAGTGTAACAGTGGTTTACTGAGTGTGTAGTCAGAAAGCCTAGGTTCAAACCCATACTGTCAGTAACTAGCTTGGAAACTTTGAGGCAGAAAGTCTGCTAAATCTGTAACAGAACGTACCCCCTGGACTTAGGGTGAAGATCAAGTGAGATAAAGCAGGAATGCCTGACTGTAAGTGCTTGATATATGTTCCATCATCATCATCATTTATTTTTATTTATTTATTTTTTTGAGACGGAGTCTCGCTCTGTCGCCCAGGCTGGAGTGCAGTGGCGCAATCTCGGCTCACTGCAAGCTCCGCCTCCCCGGTTCACACCATTCTCCTGCCTCAGCCTCTGGAGTAGCTGGGACTAGAGGCGCTCGCCACCTCGCCCGGCTAGTTTTTTTGTACTTTTTTAGTAGAGACGGGGTTTCACTGTATTAGCCAGGATGGTCTTGATCTCCTGACCTCGTGATCCGCCCGTCTCGGCCTCCCAGAGTGCTGGGATTACAGGCTTGAGCCACCGCGCCCGGCCTATCATCATCATTATAACAGCCACCACCACGGCCACCACCACCCCAGGACCCCAGGAAATCAGCAGCAATTCTGGGACTAGATCCAGTGCTCATGCTTCAAAATCTTATATTCATTTATTTAATGAACACATATTTGTTATGTTTTTTACTAGAACATAATCATCTTCCCAGAATTCCCTCACCATTTTTGTCTCCCTTCCTTTACCTTTCCCCCAAAACCATCGATTAAGATAGAGAGCAAACACCAAGATCAAAGGAATATTTATTACAACATTTATGGACCTAGCTCCTCCAAAAATAAATCCACACAGAGCTGGAAAGTAAGACCATGGTATATACAGAAGGAAAGAACACAGTGTTAAGGCTCAGGAATCAGTTTTGTCTTCAGGGTCCGCATTCTCCCATTTTCCAGTGCACTAACAAGGCTGCTGGGGTTTCCACTGCAGTATTCCTTTTGCAGGAACTCTCAGAATTTGGGGGTCCATCACAGGTTCAGCCTATGACCCAGGTCCAAAAGTTCCAGCCTTCTCTGCCACCTCCAGGGCTAGCTTCAGGTTCTGGTCAAAGAGCTCACACCTAAGCCAGGCCCAAGGTGGGAAAAAAAGCGTGAGGCCTGAGGCTTTCTCCTCACTTAAGCCAGGGGAAACTGCCTGAAGAACAACATGTATCATGGAAGGCTGAGGTTGGTGGATGAGCTGAGGTCAGGAGTTTGAGACCAGCCTGGTCAACATGGTGAAACTCTGTCTCTACTAAAAATATAAAAATTAGCTGGGCATGGTGGCGGGCACCTGTAATCCCAGCTACTCTGGAGGCTGAGACAGGAGAATCGCCTGAACCCAGAAGGCAGAGGTTGCAGTGAGCCATGACCGCACCATTGCACTCCAGCCTGGGTGACAAGAGTGAAACTCTGTCTCAAAAACAAACAACAACAAAAACCAAAAAAATGACATAAACCCCAAGGAAAGACTGTTTTCTCTAAAGAGTCACCCAGGCTGGAATGCAGTGGCACAATCTCAGCTCACTGCAACCTCTGCCTCCCAGGTTCAAGTGATTCTTTTGCCTCAGCCTCCAGAGTAGCTGGGATTACAGGTGCACACCACCACACACGGCTAATTTTTGTATTTTCAGTATTTTTAGTAGAGGTGGGGTTTCACTACGTTGACCAAGCTGGTCTCAAACTCCTGACCTCAAGTGATCTGCCCGCCTCGGCCTCCCAAATTGCTGGGATTACAGGCGTGAGCCACCGCACCCAGCGATTGTCTTATTTATTTAGAGACACTGTCTTGTTCTGTTGCCCAGGCTGGAATGCGGTAGCATGAGCATGGCTCACTGATGCCTTGACCTTCCGAGTTTAAGTAATCCTCCCACCTCAGCTTCCTTAATAGCTGGCACTACAGGTGTCTGCCACCACACCAGGCTAATTTTTTTTTTTTTTTGTACAGATGGGGTCTATGTTGTCCAGGCTGATCTCAAACTCCTGGGCTAAAGTGATCCTACCCCCCCATCTTCCAAAGTGCTGAGATTACACATGTGAGCCACCGGCCTGTCCTTCTGTCTTACTTAAAAGTAATACGCAACTAGGTGCAGTAGCTCACGCCTGTAATCGCAGCACTGTAGGAGGCCAAGGCGGGTGGATCACCTGAGGCCGGGAGTTCGAGACCAGCTTGACCAACATGGTGAAACCTTGTCTTTACTAAAAATATGAAATTAGCCAGGCGTGGTGGCACATGCCTGTAATCCCAGCTACTCGGGAGGCTGAGCCAGAAGAATCGCTTGAACCTGGGAGGCGGAGGTTACCGCGAGCCAAGATCGCCCCATTGCACTCCAGCCTGGGCAACAAGAGCGAAACTCCGTCTCGAAAACAAACAAAGTAATACTCTACTATGCTTCAACTAACTTTGGACAGAGCACACAGGGAGGGGCAAGGAGGCTTTAACCAGTATCTAGAAGTGGAGCCACTTACCTGATGGGCATTTCTAAGGAGTAGAATGGATTCTTAAGGGCAAAGTCTGAGTAAATCTCATAAATCTTTCGGAGAAGAGAATCTATTCCAGCTTGCCTAGGATCTGCTAGAACCACAAACTTGATCCCTGGAGAGAGACCAAGAATGGTTACCAAAGGGTAGACACTGGAGCAAATAGTGTCATTCTGTATTTGTACAGTACTTTCAGTTTTGCAAAACACTTTTATAAGCCCATTTTAATTTTATTATTTTTACCACATAATGCAGGAAAGGCAAGACTTTGAATCTACTGATGAGACCAGAGAAGGGAAGTAACTTTATTATGTCACCCAACTGATTAAGACCAAGCTTTGAGTTCTAGCTCTACCACTTACTAACTAACAGTTTTGGAGTCCCTCAGCAGAAACATTGCTAGGCAAGGGACAAACTCAGGCAGTTTTCAGTAAATTAAGGGGTGAAGCAATGACACTCGCAATCCAAAGGTCATATCCATTTGGCTTTCACATTTCATTTTGGAAAGACATTTAACACCTTCCAAAGTACATGCAACAGGGCTAGCATTAAGGTGAGTTTTATCTGAACACAAGATAACCTGTGCTGAACATGCTGGGTGGCATGCACAAAATCAGTTTCAGATTAAATATTGGTTTTGTATTTGCAAAACAAACAAACAGATGTGTCTGTAGAATTGTGCCAGGAAGGTCGGGCACGGTGGCTCATGCCTGTAATCCCAGCACTTTGTGAGGCTGAGGCAGGTGCATCACGTGAGGTCAGGAGTTCAAGACAGCCTGGCCAACATGGTGAAACCCCATCTCTCCTAGAAAAATACAAAAATTAGCTGGGCGTGGTGGCAGACACCTGTAATCCCAGCTACTCAGGAGGTTGAGGCAGGAGAATTGCTTGAACCTGGGTGGCGGAGGCTGCAGTGAGCCAAGATCGTCCCACTGCACTCAGCCTGGGCGACAAAGCGAGACTCTGTCTCAAAACAAAGCAAAAAAACCCCACAAAAAATTAGCTGGGGATGGTGGTGGGCATCCGTAGTCTCAGCTACTTGGGAGGCTGAGGCAGGAGAATTGCTTAAACCCAGGAGGTGGTGGCTGCAGTGAGCCAAGATCATGCCACTGCATTCCAGCCTGGGTGGCAGAGTGAAACTCCATCTCAAAAAAAAAAAGAATTGTGGGCTGGGTGCGGTGGCTCATGCCTGTAATCCCAACACTTTGGGAGGCCGAGGTGGGCAATCACCTGAGGTCAGGAGTTTGAGACCCGCCTGACCAATATGGAGAAACCCCGTCTCTACTAAAAATATAAAAATTAGCCGAGCATGTTGATGAATGCCTGTAATCCCAGCTATTTGGGAGTCTGAGGCAGGAGAATCGCTTGAACGCAGGAGGCGGATCATGCCACTGCATTCCAGCCTGGGCAACAAGAGTGAAACAGCTCAGAAAAAAAAAAAAAAAAAAAAAAAGAATTGTGCCAGGAAAAGTATACCCCCTCTTCCTGCTTACCAAAGGTGTCTTTGGTCAATCCCCTCCTCCCACCTTCTCCACCACACTCCTCTGGCCCACCTGGAGATGCAAACTTGTCAGTGTCTCTTCCCCACCTTCTCCATCACACTCCTCTGGCCTCCGTGGAGATGCATACCTGTCAGTGTCTGGTAGCAGTGCAATTTGAATGTGTCTGTCTCCAGCATCTCAATGCCTGAGCTTCCCTGTTCAGGAGACAGCTGGGAGCCGATGGCAAACAGCCTATATGCAAAGGAGGCAAAGTTGCTCTAAGGCAGGAGTGCTTCTCAAACTTCCACTGAAGTGTCCCTATTTGCTGAGGAGTTAACGTTATGGCTTGGGACAGTCAGGAGAAGTAGTGTGAACTGTCTGGCAATAGTGTCAAAATTTTTAAGTTTATTTGAATTCTGTGAATATTTTACATTCATACTTTGTTTTAAGACATTTTACATCTAAAACTTTGGATACAATGATTACTCTAGGAATGTGTGCCGCGCTTACTAAGCTTGTGCTTTTAAGCAAAAGCTGGCACATCTGATACCACAATTGAGAGCAGGAAAAGATTTTTTAAGATCATTTAGTTAAACTGGCTTTCTTTAAATATGAAGAAACTAAGGCTCAGCGAAGAGAAGTTGACTTTAAGTAAGATGACACCTCGGCCGGGGGCAGTGGCTCACTCCTGTAATCTCAGCACTTTGGGATGCGGAGGCGGGTGGATCACCTGAGGTCAGGAGTTTTGAGACCAGCCTGGCCAACAGGGCAAAACCCCGTCTCTACTAAAAAAATACAAAAAACTAGCCGGGCGAGGTGGCGGGCGCCTGTAGTTCCAGCTACTCGGGAGGCTGAGGCAGGAGAATGGCGTGAACCCGGGAGGCGGAGCTTGCAGTGAGCTGAGATCCGGCCACTACACTCCAGCCTGGGCGACAGAGCGAGACTCCGTCTCAAAACAAACAAACAAACAAACAAAAACCCCGTCTCTACTAAAAATACAAAAATTAGCTGGTCCTGGTGGCGCGCGCCTGTAATCCCAGCTACTCGGGAGGCTGAAGCAGGAGAATCGCTTGAAACTGGGAGGCACAGATTGCAGTGAGCCAAGATCGCGCCACTGCACTCTAGCCTGGGTAACAGAGCGATACTCCGTGCCCCCTCCTCTCCCCCCACAAAAAAAATGACACCACTGCCACTATTACCTAAAATCTAGATCTGGATCGGTTGCGTTTTTCATAACACCAAAATGACGATTTAAGAAAAAGTAGACAAATTACAAGCGCTGCCGTTCAGGAGACGGGGGACTTACGAGTGGAACATGGAGGCCAGCATGAGCTTCTCATTAGAAGTGAGGCGGGGCCGGCCAAATCGAATGGACACCGGGTAATTAGCAGGGTTACCCAGATACTCCAGCACCTCTTTCCCGTCGGCCGTGTACTTGCCGTTCACGTCCATGCCATTGATGGCCAGCACCGCATGGCCCACTGCAGAGGTAAAGCTAACGGTCAGCGAAACTGCAGCCCCGGGATTCCGCCGCGGGGACAAGAGACCCGACACCACCCCCTTTCCCCCAGCCCGGCACCTACAACCAACCCACTTCTGCAGCACTGGGGCCCGTCCCCCCCCCCACCCCCCGCCTCCGGCCCGAGCCTAGCCCACCTCGGATGCCGTCCCGCTGGCCGAAAGCAACCAACACACGCTCATCGTGTAGCTTGAGCAGCAGATCCAGCGGGTAACTGAAAGTTTTCTCAGCCTCAGCCCGTGGCGCGTAGCTGTCCAACTGGTAAATCAAGCCGCCAGCTTTGTTCACCACATACACACTAAAAATCGCCATCACTGCCGCTACCGCTCGGAAACTGTCATTCGGCCGCTACCCGAAGGCCCCTCCCCGGAACCGCATCACAGCACTTGCCCCCGGCCCCACCCCAGCCGCCTCCTCCTCCTCCTCCTCCTCCCAGGCCCTGCATGCCGCCACCTGCGGCACCTGCGGCGCCTGCGCATTGGGAGCGACACGCTCGGGCATAAGTAGTGCCGGAAAGTTAGTTGCCGAGACCTGGTGGATTGTTTTCCGTTTATCAGTGCCGGAAAACAGTACTACAGTACTGCGTCACAACTAGCCCGGACTCCGACAACCTGGCGCGGTATTTAGGCGGTGCGGCTTGGGAACTAGAATTCACTTCCTGTCTTCCTCTTGAGGCTAGAGGGCGAGCACTTCGCCGTGGGACTTCCTCCGCCTGGCTCCGCCTCTTGCCCCGGAAGTACTTACAGCGGACGGAGGTTTCTGGGCCCGTTTCTGAGCAGCGCTTCCTTTTTGTCCGACATCTTAGCAAGCCTGCGGTGTCTGCTGCTGCTCCCCGAGCTTCGCAATGGTAAGCTACAGGGGTATGAACTCGCCGGGGTTCTTGGGTTTGAGGACTCAGTGGGGAGAGCCTTCGGCGGGAGCTCTCCTTGGCCTGCCGGCCTTGGTTGCAGGGCGGGCGCGGTTATTGCTTCGCCCATGTGCTCGGTGGTGGAGTTTGCGGGGGCTGAGGGCGCAGTATTAGGGGAGTGTGGGGCTACTTGAGGACCTGGTTGCATTCCCGCTGCCCTCCTACAGCCGCCCAAGGACGACAAGAAGAAGAAGGACGCCGGAAAGTCGGCCAAGAAAGACAAAGACCCAGTGAACAAATCTGGGGGCAAGGCCAAAAAGAAGGTAGGAATAAGATCCCTCTGAGAGAGACTAGGGGTTCCCTCCCGTAGCCTTCTGGTAATAGGTAGCTTGTATAGCAATTGGTTTTTCAGGTATAGATTTCTAGAGTAAAAATGTGAGAGTTTATCCTCCCATCACCATTCATTCTTTTTCCTAGTTTCCATTAGGATCATGAAAATGAGACCAGTGTGTAAAGTGTCTGCCTCTGTGCCTGTCGTGTGATTTTTAACTGATCTAGTGGGGCTCGGCCCCTGTTCTGAAGCCCAAGCACCTGTCGGGTTTTTTTTTTTTTTTTTTTAGTAATGTGTAATTTATCTTTGATGATGATGGAACAGATTTCTCTGACGCAGATTACTCGAGAGGGAAAGGGTGCTTCTGCCAGAAATACTAACTTGTTTCTGTTTTGTTTTGGTGAGCAGAAGTGGTCCAAAGGCAAAGTTCGGGACAAGCTCAATAACTTAGTCTTGTTTGACAAAGCTACCTACGACAAACTCTGTAAGGAAGTTCCCAACTATAAACTTATAACCCCAGCTGTAGTCTCTGAGAGACTGAAGATTCGAGGCTCCCTGGCCAGGGCAGCCCTTCAGGAGCTCCTTAGTAAAGGTGAGGGGTGTATCCTACATGTGTGCTTTTGTAGGGTAAATTGTCTTGACCACGTTAACCATCTTCAGTGATTTTGCTGGAAAAGCAGAATTAAAAAAAAAAAAAAAAAAAAAAGCATAGCTTGACCATTGACTGTTAGTAATGTAATTCTGATGTCTTACTCCTGAGATGAATTCTTAGGGTTTGTAGCCACTTTCGTGCTGTGGACCCTGTGGCAGTTTGGTGAAGCCCAAGGATCTTTTATGTTTCAAGTAAATGGATGCATAGAATTACAGGGACAACAGGTTTTGAAATAATTAGATTAATATTTTAAAACAATTTTGAAAATGTTGAAAACCTTTATGGTAAATATTTTGATGTATTAAATTTTAAAACCAGAAATTTAGCATGGTCTACTCAGTAGTATGGTTTGATTACCATAATTCCACAATAATAAGGGTCAGCTAACTATAGTGACTGAACATCTGTAATTCTAGCACTTTGGAAGGCCGAGGCGGGTGAATCACCGGAGGTCAGGAGTTCGAGACCAGCCTGGCCAATATGGTGAAAACCTGTCTTTACTGTAAATCCAAAAATTAGCCGGACGTGATGGCGCACGCCTATAATCCCAGCTACTCAGGATGCTGAGGCATGAGGATTGCTTGAACCCAGGAGATGGAGGTGGCAGTGAGCCGAGATGGCACTACTGCACTCCAGCTTTGGTGACAGAGCAAGAGACTGTCTCAAAAAAGGGGGCGGGGAGGTGCGGTGGAAGGTAATGGGCCCCTAATTTAAAGGAAAAGTAAAGATAGATGATCGTTAAAAACTGTAGGATTCTCTGTTACGAAACGTCAGATTAAGCAGGTGCAGTGATACCCTTGTATTTCTAGCTACTTGGGAGGCCAAGGCAGGAGGATCATTTGAGCCAAGGAGTTTGAGTACATTCTGGGCACCTTTGAGAGGACCCCCCCCCCCGGCCTTTTTTTTTTTTCTTTTAAATAGAGATGCTGTTTTGCTCTGTTGCCCAGGCTGGTCTCCTGGGCTCAAGAGATCCACCTGTCCAAAGTGCTGGAATTATAGGCATGAGCCACTACACCTGGCCAAAACAGAAACCTTAATAGTATGTTTTTGTTTTTTTGGTTTTTTTTTTTTTTTTTTTTTTTTAAAGACAGTCTCACTCTGTCGCCCAGGCTGGAGTGCAGAGGGGCAATCTTGGCTCACTGCAACCACCAACTCCTGGGTTCAGGCAGTCCTCACACCTCAGCCTCCCAAGTACCTGGGATTACAAACACGTGCCACCATGCCTCACTAATTTTTGTATCTTCGGTAGAGATGGGGTTTCACCATGTTGGCCAGGCTGGTGTGCAACTCCTTACCTCAAGCTGTCTGCCCGCCTTCACCTCCCAAAGTGGTGGGATTACGAGCATGAGCCACCATGCCCAACCAAAAACCTTACTAGTTTCTATTATAGCATCTATTAAGCATCTCATCCTACTATCTTCTCTCCCTAGGACTTATCAAACTGGTTTCAAAGCACAGAGCTCAAGTAATTTACACCAGAAATACCAAGGGCGGAGATGCTCCAGCTGCTGGTGAAGATGCATGAATAGGTGAGTAGGAATGCGTGGGCTCATGGAGTAGGAGGGAGATACAAAGCTTTATGGTTCTGATTCTTGTAATTTTTTTTTTACAGGTCCAACCAATTGTACATTTGGAAAAATAAAACTATTAAATCAAATGAATGAGTATGTCTGTTTCCTAAGAAAGACAATGATAAAGAATTTGGTGGAAAGTAGGGGTTTGTTGACTTTGCTTTTAGCCTCATGGTAGTTGGTAAAGCATGATTAGCTTTTTTCTGTATGTGACTGCTTCTTCATTGCTGCAGCTTCAGTTTTGAATTGATGTCTGAAAGGAAATAAAGGGTTAACAGGATGAAGGGTGATATCTCCAAAAAGGAGGTTGGATGGGTAGGTTGGAGACCTGGCACTGAACACATACCTGGACTGCCAGCGTCGTCCATTATTCCAGACTCGGCCAAAAGAGGGCAGCCAGCCTGCACTGGTCCTGGAGCTGTGATCAAAGTTGGCCCCAACTCGGTCTGGGGGGAGTTTTTTCAACTTCTGTTTTTCCTCTGTGCAATGATAAGAAAACAGCTTTTTATTTTTCTTTATTAAAGAATATAAAGGCCGGGCGCGGTGGCTCAAGCCTGTAATCCCAGCACTTTGGGAGGCCGAGACGGGCAGATCACGAGGTCAGGAGATCGAGACCATCCTGGCGAACACGGTGAAACCCCGTCTCTACTAAAAAATACAAAAAACTAGCCGGGCGAGGCGGCGGGCGCCTGTAGTCCTAGCTACTCGGGAGGCTGAGGCAGGAGAATGGCGTAAACCCGGGGGGCGGAGCTTGCAGTGAGCTAGCGCGGGCGACAGAGCCAGACTCCGTCTCAAAAAAAAAAAAAAAAAAAGAATATAGAGATGGGGTTTCACTATGTTGTCTAGGCTGTTTTCAAACTTCTGGGCTCAAGTGACCCTCCCACCTCAGCCTCCCAAAGTGCTAGGATTACAGCCATGAGCCATCACACATAGGCAAGGAAACTGTTTTTGAGTGTGAAGATTTAGAAGACCCTCTCTTGAATTAGTTTACTTACTTTCTTTAAGAAATTCTTCATAGGATGGTCCTATTTCTTGGTTCCCACCGATGTATTCATCTTGGATCATCCAGGGAGGTGTGGCACCTGAAAAAGAAATAAAGTCTTCCTTTTTTTTTTTTTTTTTTTTTTTTAAGTCTTCAGGCTATTGTGAAGCATGTCCTAGCTGTTAGCTCACTTCTCCTAATTAAGAACTAGAAATGTCTAAAAGCAAAAAGCAAAGCCCAGGAATTCTGGAGCTTAGGAAGAAGGCCCTAGGCTAATTTAAAGCAACGTACCTCATATGTGATAGTCATTTTCAAATGGCTTTGAGGCATGATTGACATAACGATACACATTTAAATTTGGTGACTTTTGAGTGAAGCTATTACAATCAAGACCCCAAACATCTGCCTCTAAGTATCACTGCCCCCATTAAAATATTTTCCTGTCCAGGCAATCAGTGATCTTTCCGTTGCTTTATTGGTTTGTATTTTTTAGGATTTTCTGTGTGTGGATATTGAGTGGGGTCTGGCTTTTTTTGTTTTTTTTTTGAGAGGAGTCTTAACGCTAGCCCAGGCTGGAGTGCAGTAGCACGTTCTCAGCTCACTGCAACCTCAGCCTCCCGAGTACTGGGAATACAGGTGCACACCACGACGCCCAGCTAATTTTTGTATTTTTAGTAGAGACAGGGTTTCATCATGTTGGCCAGGCTGGTCTCAAACTCCTGACCTCGTGATCCACCTGCCTCGGCCTCCCAAAGTGCTGGGATTACAGGCGTGAGCCACCGCGCCGGCCGGGTCTGGCCTTTTGAGATTAATCTGTGTTGTATGTATCAAAAATTCTGTCTTCATCCTGGAGTACTATTCCGTTGTTAATCCATTTGCCTGTTGATAGACATTTGAATTGTTTCCAATTTGGAGCTGCTACAAATAAAGCTGTTCTGAAGGTTTGTGTACAAGTCTGTGTAGACAGGCTTTCTTTTCTCTAGTTAGGAGTGGAATGGCTGGATAATATCGTAGGTGTATCCTGAACTGTTTTCCGAAGTGACTATTACCAGTTTACATTTTAAGCAGTAGTGTATGAGGGTTTGGTGGTTTTTCTTTCTTTTTTTTTTCTTTTTTTTTTTTTTTTTTGAGACGGAGTCTCGCTCTGTCGCCCAGCCCAGGCTAGAGTGCAGTGGCGCGATCTCGGCTCACTGCAAGCTCCGCTTCCCGGGTTCTCGCCATTCTCCTGCCTCAGCCTCCCGAGTAGCTGGGACTACAGGCACCCGCCACTTTGCCTGGCTAGTTTTTTCTTTTGTATTTTTTAGTAGAGACGGGGTTTCACCGTGTTAGCCAAGATGGTCTCGATCTCCTGACCTCGTGATCTGCCCGTCTCAGCCTCCCAAAATGCTGGGATTACAGGCTTGAGCCACCGTGCCCGGCCGAGGGTTTGGTTTTTCTACATTGCCAAACACTTGGCACAGTCAGTCTTTAATTTTTGCCATTCCAATATATACATAGTGGTATTTCACTGTGGTTTGCATTTCTCTAATGACTAATGATGAACATCTATTCATATGCTTTTATTGGGTTGTTTAATATCAAGTTGACAGTTCTTCCTATATTCTGGATACAAGGTTTTTACCAGATACATATGCTTTATCTTGGCCAACTTTATTAAAAAAGAAAACAAGAAAATTATCTCCCAGGGTTTTAAAAACTCTGCCCTGGACCTTACCTGAGTGGATGTTACCAACTCCTGGTATATCCTGTAGTTGGAAATGGGAAAAAAAAAATGCTAGTTAAAGTCTAGCCATGATTAAAAAAAAAAAAACAAAACCTAGAAAAGATAGACAGAGCACACTTCAAAAGAGGTGGCTGTGACTGCTGCCACAATGCTAAATTCTGCACCCCAGCTGATGTTAAACTTTGAAAGCACAGTAAGTCATTCTTAAGACAGCCCTGTCCTTAGGAAGCTCACAGTCATAACAGTGGAGATGTCCGTAAGTAGAGTGGCTATTACGTGCCAGGTGAGCAAAACCTTGCCTTCACAGCACACATATAATTGGGGAACAGCATTAAGCACAAGTTAGGTAAATTACGTTTGCAACTTTACATGGTGCTACATCCACTTGAAATAGAGATAACCTGTTCAGATAAGCCATTTATGAAAAAGTGACATTTGAGCTAACAGTTAAAGGAAGGTAAACTTTAGGTGATAAGGGAAGGAAAACATGTTTTAGGCAATGGCAACTGTAAAAGCCCGTAGCAACACAATCAATACAGCTGAAGTGTAGAGTAAGATCATAAGTGGTACGATGATTTTCTGTTGGTGAGGCAGGATTGAAGGGGGAGTAGAAGTTGTCCAAAAGCTGAATAGAGGCAGACAGATGTTTAAAACTGACTGCTTGTTGACAAGATATGGGAGACGGAAAAGGAAAGGATCTGCATCTAGTGATTGGAAATACAGGAGTGGTGGAGGTTAGTTTCAGATGCCTATGGGATATTTAAATATAATAGTCCTGTGTTGAGTTGGTACTATGAGTTCTACAGAGGGCAAGATTTAGGAGTTGGCACTCCTAAGTGGCAATACATGTGAATAGGATCCCTTTGGAGGGTGAGAAGAAGTCTGAGAACACTACTAGGGAACAGTGAAGTAAGAAGGAAAAGCCTGCAGTGGAGACAGCAGTGACTAGAATAGGTAGAAAATCAGAAGAGGGGTCCTGAGACCTGAGGGAGCATTGGCCCTCTTCTGGCTTGCTTATCCTTTGTACCTGATGGCCAATGAATGTCAGAGATGGTCCTATCTCCATCCAGTCAAGCTCTGGAGCTGGTGGCAGGTCCAAGTTTGAGGGCTGCTGTGAGCTGGAAGCTACTTGGCTGAAAAACATGAGCCAGGCTGGCAGATGAGGTCCTTGAGCCATGAGGGTGGTAAAGATCAGATCTGTTTCCATTTCCCGGCCAAAAGGTTGCAGAATGTTCTAAGATGTCAAATTCCCAACAAGAGATTCTCTAACAGTCTTACCTGTTCATCCCTTTCCAGCTTCTAGGTGCTGAAGAGCCCTCTTCTGGGTCTGGCACTGCCTGAGGCTGAGTTTGATTCAGGAAAAATAAATGTGTCTGGGATGCTTAAGAGCCTGCCTAGGCCATGCCTCCACCCTCCAGACCCCAGTATCACATGAAGGAAACAAATTAGCATATGGAAGGTACTGCCCTGCCATCTTTTACAGACTCTTCCCTCCCTCCCTCCCAGCCCAGTCCACAAATTCACTGACTAGGCCTGCCCCCTTGTGCACAGGTAAGGGAATTCAAGCCAAGCAAATGAGAATGCAGTCAGAGTTCTCTTAGAAGCACTTTTTCATGGCCAGGTGCAGTGGCTCACGCCTATTATCCCAGCAGGCTGAGGCAGGTGGATCACCTGAGGTCAGTTCAAGACCAGCCTGGCCAACATGATGAAACCCTATCTCTATTTAAAATACAGAAATTAGCCAGGCGTGGTGGTGACACCTATAATCCCAGCTACTCAAGAGGCTGAGGCAGGAAAATCGCTTGAACCTGAACCTGGGAGGTGGAGGTTGCAGTCAGCCAAGATTGTGCCACTACACTCCAGCCTGGGTGACAGTGAGACTCTGTCTCCAAAAAAAAAAAAAAAAAAACAGCACTGGTTCATGAAATGCTGGACTTGGGAATGCCAGGGATCAGTGGATTTGGATACTTGTCTGGATCCTCCGAGGGAAACCAACCTCTAAGACAGACCGAACCACCTCCTGCCGGCTCTGCTCCACCTCGCGGATCTGAGCTGCCATCTGTGGGAGAGAGGCTGCTTAGACAGGATCATGGGGGCCAGTTTCTTCAGAGGCCTTTCCTTTAACTCAGGGGCCCTCCACCCCCAGGCGTGGACCAGTACTGGTCTGTGGCCTGTCAGGAAGCAAGCTGCAACAGCACTGCTGCCTGAGCTCCTGTCAGATCAGCGGTGGCATTAGATTCTCATAGGAGCGCAAACACTATTGTGAACTGGGCATGCAAAGTATCTAGGTTGCGCGCTCCTTATGAGAATCTAATGCCTGATGATCTGAGGTGGAGCAGTCTCATTCTGAAACCATCCCCTGCCTGGGTCCATCTGGAAAAATCATCTTCCACGAAACCAGCCCCTGGTGCGAAAAAGGTGAGGGACTGCTACTTTAACTTACCTCCTTGATCACCTCATCCTCCTTTTCTTCATAGGAATCCAAACCTTTCACCATGGATTTCTTGAATCTAAAAAGAAAAGGGGCAAAACCGCCCAGAACCCATTCCCCACCAGTTATGAAAAGCTCCTCAGATTTTTTTTTTTTTAATTTTGAGAAATTTCAAATTCAGAAACAAAACAGTATAATAAGCACCTATGTACCTCTCACCCAGAGTCATTGTAAACATTTTGCCACGCTGGCTCCATTTCTTTTGTACAGACACATGTCCTCTTTGCCAAAACAAAAATAGGTTTAGATGTCAAACCAGATTTTCAGCACGTATCTCCCAAGAAGAGGAACATTCTATACAACCATGATACCATTACCACATCAAGAAAATTATTCTTTTTAGTGTTCAGGTATTTGGCTGGTTAGTATAGACATGGTTTATATGTCTTTACACTTGAGTGTAGGCATACAGGCCAAAGTGGAAGGATTGCTTGAGCCCAGGAGTCTGAGACCGGCTCAGGTAACATAGTGACCCTGTCTATACAAAACATACAGAAATAGCCAGGTGTGATGGTGCACGCTTCTAGCCCCACCTACTTGGGGGGGTGGGAGCATTGCTTGAGCCTGGGAGGTTGAGGCTGCAGTGAGCTGTCATTGTGTCATGGCACTCCAGCTTGGACAACAGAGCAAGACTCCATCTCAAAAAAAAAAAAAAAAAAAAAAAAAAGGCCGGGCGCGGTGGCTCACACCTGTAATCCCAGCAGTTTGGAAGGCCGAGGTGGGCAGATCACGAGGTCAGGAGTTTGAGAACAGCCCGACCAACATGCTGAAACCCATCTCTACTAAAAGTACAAAAACTAGCCGGGCGTGGTGGTGCGCACCTGTAATCCCAGCTACTCAGGAGGCTGAGACAGGAGAATCACTTGACCATGGGAGGCGGAGGTTGCAGTGTGCCAAGATCAGGTCATTGTACTCCAGCCTGGGTGACAGAGTGAGACTCCGTCTCAAAAAAAAAAAGAAGCAAAAACTGTTCAGGCTGCTGGTATCTCCTGGCCACTGGCTGCCACTACGGTTCATTTATCTGGAACCTGGGCTCCTGAAGATGCAGCGCTGGAGCAGAGAGATGATGCTGACAGGGTGTATTGGTCTGTTTTCACACTGCTGACTGATAAAGACATATCCAAGACTGGGTAATTTACAAAGAGAAAGAGGTTTAATGGACTTAGAGTTCCATGTGGCTGGGGAGGCCTCACAATCACAGCAGAAGGTGAAAGGCATGTCTTACATGGTGACAGGCAAGACAGAATGAAAAACCAAGCAAAAGGGGAAACCCCTTACAAAATGGTCAGATCATGTGACTTACTACCATGAGAACAGTATGGGGGAAAATGCCCCCATGATTCAGTTATCTCCCACTGGGTCCCTCCTACAACATGTCGGAATTACGGGAGATACAGTTCAAAAAAAATTGGGTGGGGACACAGCTAAACCTTATCACAGAGGTTGATGACTGACCCAGTCACATTAGAAATAGGTGGACTTAACCGGGCACAGTGGCTGACGCCTGTAATCCCAGCACTTTGGGTGGCTGAAGTGGGCAGATCACGAGGTCAAGAGATCGAGACCATCCTGGCCAACATGGTGAAACCCCATCTCTACTAAAAATACAAAAATTAGGCCGGGCGTGGTGGCTCACACCTGTAATTCCCACTTTGGGAGGCCGAGGCAGTCGGATCACGAGGTCAGGAGATCGAGACCATCCTGGCTAACACGGTGAAACCCCGTCTCTACTAAAAATACAAAAAATTAGCCGGGCATGGTGGCAGGTGCCTGTAGTCCCAGCTACTCGGGAGGCTGAGGCAGGAGAATGGTATGAACCCGGGAGGTGGATCTTGCAGTGAGCCGAGATTGCACCACTGTACTCCAGCCTGGTGACAGAACGAGACTCTGTCTCAAAAAAAAAAAAAAAATTCCAAAAATTAGTTTGGCGTGGTGGCCTGCGCCTATAGTCCCAGCTACTCGGGAGAATCGCTTGAACCTGGGAGGTAGAGGTTGCAGTGAGCTGAGATCATGTCACTGCATTCCAGCCTGGCGAAAGAGCGAGACTCCATCTCAAAAAAAAAAAAAAAAAAAATCCTGCCTACTCTGAAGGCTGAGGCAGGAGGATTGCTTGAGCCCAGACGTTTGAGGCTGCAGTGAGCCATGATTGTACCGCTGCACTCCAGCCTGGGTGACAGAGCAAGACCCCGTCTCAAAAAAAAGAAAAAAGCATCTCAAATTATTTAACCAAATGGACTAAAAGCACATAATGATAATGGATAGTATAGACTGCCAGGTTTCTTTCCTTTCCTTTGTGCGATTATCACCAGGAAATTTCTCTATGGGTCTCGTAATCCACAACACCTGAGTGTATCACATGAGTGAGCAGGACAATGAAGACACAGTGGAACACAATTGGACTTTCTATAGACTAACCTGGAAGGCAGGTATCTAATTTCCAAACCAGAAGTTCCTGGAAACTGAGTTCAAGGAAATAGAAGAAACTGATTTAAAAAAAACATTACACTGTGGTTGAAGTCCAGAAATTTCTAGGCGGCTGGCTAGGCACAGTGGGTCATCTGTAGTCCCAGCACTTTGGGAGGCTGAGGTGGGAGGACTGCCTGAGACCAGGAGTTTGAGACCAGAGGAAAAGAAAATGACAATGTGGAATTGTAAAAAAAAATTTTTTTTTTGAGACAGCGTCTCACTCTGTCGCCAGGCTGGAGTGCAGTGGTGCCATCTTGGCTCACTGCAACCTCCGCCTCCTGGGTTCAAGCGTTTCTCCTGCCTCAGCCTCCTGAGTACCTGGCACTACAGGCGCCTGCTGCCACACCTGGCTAATTTTTTAGAGACAGGGTCACTGTGTTAGCCAGGATGGTCCCAATCTCCTGACCTCATGATCCTCCTGTCTTGGTCTCCCAAAGTGCTGGGATTACAAGCGTGAGCCACCGCGCCTGACCAAAACCTTTTATTTATTTGAGGACCAGAGAGAAGTTTTGTGCTTTAGCAGACTCCTGCATGTTTTCTTCTTTTCGCCCTGTTCAAACTCTCCAGGTACTGTTTTTTTTTTTTCTCTTTTTGAGACAGGGTCTTTTGCTATGTTGCCCAAGCTAGAGTGCAGTGGCATGATCACAGCTCACTGCTGCCTCAACCTCGTGACCTTCAGCATTCCTCCTGCCTCAGCCTCCCCAGTAGCTAACACTACAGGCAAATGTCACCATACTTGGCTAATACAATTTTTTTTTTAGAGATGGGGTTTTGCTATGTTGTCCAGGCTGGTTTTAAACTCCTGGGCTCAAATGATCCTCTGTCTCAGCCTCCAAAAGTGCTGGAATTATAGTCATGAGCTACTGCAACTGAATTGCCGTTTTTTTTTTTTTTTTTTTTTTTTTTTAAGAGACATTCTTGCTGTGTTGCCCAGACTGGAGTGTAGTGGTGGGATGACAGCTGACTGCAGCTTCAACCTCCTGGGCTCAGGTGATCCTCCTGCCTTGGCCTCCAGAGTAAGTATGGACTATAGGCTAGCCTTCAAAGCAGGTAGGACTATATACCCCACTAATTCACTAATCCAGATACCCTTTTTATTAAAAATGTGAAAATCAGGCCGGGCCCAGTGGCTCATGCCTGTAATCCCAGCACTTTGGGAGGACAAGGTGGGCAGATCATGAGGTCAGGAGTTCAAGACCAGCCTGGCCAATATGGTGAAACCCCGTCTCTACTAAAAATACAAATTAGCCAGGCATGGTGGTGTGTGCCTATAGTCCCAGCTACTCGGGAGGCTAAGGCAGAAGAATTGCTTGAACCTAGGAGGCGGAGGTTGCAGTAAGCTGAGATCGCGCCACTGCACTCCAGCTTGGGCAACACAGGGAGACTCTGTTCCAAAAAAAAAGGTCTGAAAATCATTATGGTATGTAATCTATCCTTATTATAGTGCTAAAATGATTTCTGATAAAATAGTTCCTAACTCAACTAGAACACTATGAAGAATGAAAGAATGAGCAGAGTACTCATGATGCCTTTGAGTAAAATCGAAACATACAGCGTGATCTAATTTCCAAACCAATAGGCAGTATTGTAATATTAAAGGAAAACTAATCCAATCACTTAAAAATACTTGCTAAGTACTGCTTTTTATAGTTATGACAACTGTTTTTTCTATGCATATGAATCAAGCAACCAAATATTTATAACCATGGAAATACCTGATTAGAAATATTTCTTTTTTTTTTTTTTTTTTTTTTTTTTGAGACGGAGTCTCACTCTGTCCCCCTTGCTGGAGTGCAGTGGCCGGATCTCAGCTCACTGCAAGCTCCGCCTCCTGGGTTCAGGCCATTCTCCTGCCTCAGCCTCCCGAGTAGCTGGGACTACAGGCGCCCGCTACCTCGCCCGGCTAGTTTTTTTGTATTTTTTAGTAGAGACGGGGTTTCACTGTGTTAGCCAGGATGGTCTCGATCTCCTGACCTCGTGATCCACCCGTCTCGGCCTCCCAAAGTGCTGGGATTACAGGCTTGAGCCACCGCGCCCGGCCGATTAGAAATATTTCTAACCTGGGCCAGGCTCGGTGGCTCACGCCTATAATCCCAGCACTTTGGGAGGCCGAGGCGGGCAGATCACCTGAGGTCGGGAGTTCAAGACCAGCCTGAGCAATATGGTAAAACCCCATCTCTACTAAAATTACAAGAATTAGCTGGGCGTGGTGGTGTGGGCCTGTAGTTCCAGCTACTCAGGAGACTGAGGCAAGAGAATCGCTTGAACTTAGGAGGTAGAGGCTGCAGTGAGCCAAGATCATGCCACTCTAGCCTGGGCGACAGAACAAGACTCTGTCTACAAAAAAAGAAAAAAGGAAATATTTCTAATTATTGGCCAGGTGCAGTGGCTCACACCTGTAATCCAGCACTTTGGGAAGCCAAGTCGGGTAGATCATTTGAGGTCAGGAGTTTGAGACCAGCTTGGCCAACATGGTGAGACCCTGTCTCTACAAAAAAATACAAAAATTAGCCCCTTTTCACAAGATGGCGCCAAAAGCTAAGAAGGAAGCTTCTGCCCCTCCTAAAGCCAAAGCGAAGGGTCTGAAGGCCAAGAAGGCAGTGTTGAAAGGTGTTTACAGCCACAAAAAAAAATCTGCACATCACCAGCCTTCCAGTGGCCCAAGACACTGCGACTCTGGAGGCAGTGCAAACATCCTCAGAAGAGCACCCCCAGGAGAAACAAGCTTGACCACTATGCTATTTATCAAGTTTCCTCTAACCACTGAGTGTCCCATGAAGAAGACAGAAGACAACACACTTGTGTTCATGGTGAATGTTAAAGCCAGAAAGCACTGGAAGAAGCTCTATGACACTGATGTGGCCAAGGTCAACACCCTGATTCGGCCTCATGGAGAGAAGAAGGCATATGTTTGACTGGCTCCTGATTACAGTGCTTTGGATGTTGCCAACAAAATAGGGATCATCTCAACTGAATCCAGTTGGCTAATTCTAAATATATGTATATCTTTTCACCAGTAAAAAAAAAAATAATAAATTATCAAGGCCTGGTGGCTCATGCCTGTAATCCCGGCTACTCAGGAGGCTGAGTCAGGAGAATTGCTTGAACCCAGGAGGCAGAGGTTGCAGTGAGCCGAGATCACACACCTGCCCTCCAGCCTGGACAACAGAGTGAGACTCCATCTCAAAAAAAACCCGAAATATTTCTTTTGGATTCTGAATGAAAATTTTCCTATGGGAGAAATCTTACTTCTTATGCCTGTTACAGTATAATTCCCAAATGTACCATCAGAAAAAAGAAAAAAAAAACCTTATTGAGATCCGGCCACTGCACTCCAGCCTGGGCTACAGAGCGAGACTCCGTCTCAAAAAAAAAAAAAAAAGTATACATAGAAATCTTTTTTCTAGGCTGGGTGTGGTGGCTCACGCCTGTAATCCTAGCACTTTAGGAAGCCGAGTCAGGTGGATCACTTGAGGTCAGGAGTTCAAGACCAGCCTGGCCAACATTTTGAGACCCCCCTCTCTACTAAAATACAAAAATTAGCTGGGTGTAGTGGCACGAGCCTGTAATCCCAGCTACTTGGCAAGCTGAGATGGGAGAATCGCTTGAACCTGGGAGGTGGAGGTTGCAGTGAGCTGAGATTATGCCACTGTGCTCCAGCCTGGGTGACAGAGTGAGACTCTGTCCAAAAAAGAAACATCTTTTTTCTATTCCTATCACCTCTAAACATTTTTACTGACCCACAAACTGGATCACACCAACTGGTTACACTAACTGATATGTGATCAGTTTCTTTTCCTTTTTTTTTTTTTTTTTGAGGCAGTTTTTTGCTCTTGTTGCCCAGGCTGGAGTGCAATGGATGGCACGATGTCAGCTCAGTGCAATCTCTTGCCTCCCGGACTCAAGCGATTCTCCTGTCTCAGCCTCCCGAGTAGCTGGGATTACAGGCATGAACCACCATGCCCAGCTATTTTTTGTATTTTTAGTAGAGATGGGGTTTCACCATATTGACCAGGCTGGTCTCGAACTCGAACTCCTGACCTCAAGTGATCCTCCTGCCTCGGCCTCCCAAAGTGCTGGGATTACAAGTGTGAGCCACAGTGCCTGGCCATGTGATCAGTTTCATTAACTTCTCTAAAAACAAATTCATATTTATTTTTAGAGATGGGGTCTTGATACATTGCCCAGGCTGGCCTCAAATTCCTGAGCTCAAGCTATCCTCTTACCTCAGCCTCCTGAGTAGCTAGGACTACATGTGTGTACCACCACATCTGGCAGTTTCATTAGTTTCTTGATTATCCTTTAGGCATTCCTTTTTGAGAAAATAAGCAGATACAGTTGACTTTTGCACAGCGCAGTTCGAACTGCACAAGTTCACTTGAAAAAGTTTTTGGAGATTTGCAATAATTTGAAAAAACTTACAGATGAACCACATAGTCTAGAAATACGAAAAAAATTAAGAAAAAGGTATGTCATGAATGCATAAAATATATGTAGATACTAGTCTTTTATTATTTATTACCATAAAATACACAAATCCAGGCTGAAACAGGAGAATCGCTTGAACCTGGGAGGCAGAGGTTGCAGTGAGCCGAGATGGCACCACTGCACTCCACCCTGGGTGACAGAGCAAAACTCCCTCTCCAAAAAAAAAAAAAAAAGTTAAAATCTATCAAAACTTACACACAGAAACACAGACTGTACATGGTGACATTCGCAGTCAAGAGAAATGAAAATAAATGTAAAGATGCAATATTACATAACTGCATAAAATTACACTCCAAACTGTACAACTGTCACAATTTTGTAGCCACCTATTGCAGTGAACTCAAGTGTTGTGAGTATCTGCTTAAAACACAGTAATGCTGGTCATCTTGTAAGCAGTTGTCTCACCAGTAAATTGCATATTACAGTGAAAGTGATCACTCATGGTTCCTGCATATTTTTCAGTAATGTCATACCATTAACCTTGAATAGTAACGTGGGACCTATAGGAGGCGCCATTAGTGATGCCTGAAGCGCTCCCAAGAAGCAGAGAAAAGTCATGACATTACAAGAAAAAGCTGAATTGTTTGATAAGTACTGTAGATTAAGATCTACAGCTGCAGTTGCCCAGCATTTCAAGATAAATGAATCCATACACATTGACAAAACCCATGTGGAAAAAAAAAGGGTGAGGGGTGAGCATGGTGGCTCACTTTGAAAGGCTGAGGTAGGCGGATTGCTTGAGCCCAAGAGTTCGAGACCAGCCTGGGCAACATAGCAAAACCCCGTCTCAATTTAAAAAAGAATTTTTTTTTTTTTTCCTTTTGAGACAGTTTCTATTTTCTGCCCAGGCTGGAGTGAAGTGGTGTGATCTTGGCTCACTGCAACCTCTGCCTCGCCAGGTTCAAGCAATTCTCCTGTCTCAGCCTCCTGAGTAGCTGGGATTATAGGCACCCACCACCACACCCAGCTAATTTTTGTATTTTTAGTAGAGATAGGGTTTTGCCATGTTGGCCAGGTTGGTCTCAAACCCCTGACTTCCCATGAGCCACCATGCCCGCCCCCAAAAAAATTTTTTTGGTCTAAAGGCAAAGAAAAAAATAACTAAATCCAGCCTAAGGAACACTGTAAAAAAAATAGGAGGGGCCGGGCACGGTGGCTCAAGCCTGTAATCCCAGCACTTTGGGAGGCCGAGGCGGGTGGATCACGAGGTCAGGAGATGGAGACTATGCTGGCTAACATGGTGAAACCCCGTCTCTACTAAAAATACAAAAAACTAGCCGGGCGTGGTGGCGGGCGCCTGTAGTCCCAGCTACTCGGGAGGCTGAGGCAGGAGAATGGCGTGAACCCGGGAGGCGGAGCTTGCAGTGAGCCGAGATCATGCCACTGCACTCCAGCCTGGGAGACACAGTGAGACTCCGTCTCAAAAAAAATAAAAAAAAAAAAAGGAAATTCATGAAGCTATCACGGCACCTTGCATGCTTTGCACAATACCTTTTTGTCTTCATATTGAAAGCACAGCTTTTATGTGGGTACAGGGTTGTTAGAAAGGCCTACCTACGGCCGGGCGCGGTGGCTCACGCCTGTAATCCCAGCACTTTGGGAGGCCGAGGCGGGCGGATCACAAGGTCAGGAAATCGAGACCACGGTGAAACCCCGTTTCTACTAAAAATACAAAAAATTAGCCGGGCACGGTGGCGGGCGCCTGTAGTCCCAGCTACTCAGGAGGCTGAGGCAGGAGAATGGCGTGAACCCGGGAGGCGGAGCTTGCAGTGAGCCGAGATTGCGCCACTGCACTCCAGCCTGGGCGACAGAGCAAGACTCTGTCTCAAAAAAAAAAAAAAAAAAAAAAAAAAAAAGAAAGGCCTACCTACAGCTTCTAATAGGATTCAAGAAACAGCAAAATCATTACATGACAAAGCAAAAGGAAGGTGAAGGATCTAAAGCTGGAGAATTTAATGCCAACAAAGGATGGTTTGATACTTTTAGAAAGAAGTTTGGCTTAAAATATGTCAAAACAGCAGAAGGGGCAGCTTCTGCCAACCAAGAGGCAGCAGATGAATTCCCAGATACCATTAAGAAAATCACTGAGGCCGGGCGCGGTGGCTCAAGCCTGTAATCCCAGCACTTTGGGAGGCCGAGACGGGCGGATCACGAGGTCAGGAGATCGAGACCATCCTGGTTAAAACGGTGAAACCCCGTCTCTACTAAAAAATACAAAAAACTAGCCGGGCGAGGTGGCGGGCGCCTGTAGTCCCAGCTACTCGGGAGGCTGAGGCAGGAGAATGGCGTGAACCCGGCAGGCGGAGCTTGCAGTGAGCTGAGATCCGGCCACTGCACTCCAGCCTGGGTGACAGAGCGAGACTCCGTCTCAAAAAAAAAAAAAAAAAAAAAAGAAAATCACTGAGACCAGGCATGATGGCTCACACCTATAATCCCAGCACTTTGGGAGGCCAAAGCGGATGGATCACAAGTCAGGAGTTAGTGACCAACCTGGCCAACATGGTGAAACCCCATCTCTACTACAAATACAAAAATTAGCCAGGTGTGGTGGTGTGCGCCTGTAATCCCAGCTACTTGGGAGGCTGAGGCAGGAGAATCATTTGAACCCAGGAGGTGGAGGTTGCAGTGAGCTGAGATTGTGCCATTGCACTCCAGCCTGGGCAAAAAGAGCAAAACTGTGTCTCAAAATAAATAAAATAGAGTTCAAAACTATTAAAAGTAGGTACTGGCTGAACAGCAGTTTCTTACAAACTATAAACAGCCTCTTCTAACGTTAGTATTCTCTGTGCCTCACATTTAAGTAGTTGACAATAGCCAACTTTTAGTATTGTTCTCTATTTGCTAAATCCCATCCCCCAACCAAACCTCAAGAACTGTCACATTTTTGTGTCCAACATAGTACCTAGAATAAGAAGTGCTATGAAGACAATAGATACTTCAGAAGTCCCTCCTGAACTTTCCAGTTAATAGAGTAAGCTCCCATACCTGACAAAGATCCAGAGAATTCACTCTGCTACTTCATGTTCAATACCAGTGACTCACCGTACATAATCCTGGGGAGTGACCAGAAACTTCTCTTTCATTTGGACCTCAGCTTTGTTCTCCCACCAGAATTTGTTGGTTGCTTTCTTGTGCTCAGGGCTGAAAATGGAGAGGATAAGTAATCTCAGCTATAGATTATAAAATATTACTCAGATATTAAGCATTAGGTTTGTAATGCAAACTGACATCTGGGTTTCTGCCCGGGACAGGGCTGAGAGAGGAACACTGTTACCATCTCTTCAAGATCTCGTGTCTCTTCTTTCCATAAAATTGTGAGAATCTGAGGGGAGGTTAGGGGCGGTAACCAAGTTGACTTTCGCAGCCAGACCACCAGCACCACTTGGGACCGTGGCAGCATAGGACCCCTACCCTAAAAAGGCTGGCAGCACCTGTGAAGTGACTCAATCCATCCATCTTGATCAAATCACAAAAGCGTTCTTTTTGTTACCCACTCCAAACCCTCCTCCCGTATATGTATGCATCTGTGCTGGAGCAGGCTCCCAGTTCGGCTCTCACCTGGCCAGATGCTCCAGCAGCCCCCCGTACAGCACCGTCAGGTTTCCATGGCTCAGGTGTTCCCGCACCTCACAGCCGCAGCACAGGCACCAGCAGCATCGCTCGTGTTCCGGCACGTAGCGCTCCACCTGAGCGGCGCGGATGGCCTTGCGGGCCGCCTCCACCTGCGGGAAAGAGACGAAGTAGAACCCCAAGGGGGGCACCCAAATCAACCCGCTCTGGCCTTCACCGACCTGCCCCGCACTCCCATCCCATCTCTAGCCTTGCCGCCGCACCTGGGGCAGGAGCCTCTCCAAAGCCTCCTTCAGCTGCCGCTGGTGCTTGCGGCTGTAGACGTGCCCGCGACCACAGAAGAAGGTCTGGCGGCACAGAGGGCAGCGCTGCGCCGGCGCCATAGGCGGGGGACCCGGTATCACCACCACCAGCAGCTGATCCTACGCCATCCGGCGGCCCCTGACCCCTGACCTCTGACCCTTCGGGGCGGGGCTAACCCAGCGGCCCCCAAGCGCCCGGCAGGCGCCACTGCAAGCCCTTCTGCGGCTGCGCAGACTCCTCCCAGGCCTCTGGTCCCGCCCAGGCACCAGCATTCCAGAGTCCGGCCGGTTAAGGGGGAAGGCGGCGCCATCCTGCAGATGTGCGGGGACGTGCGCCCTCCGCAGCGTGAGGCTCACAGGCCACACACAACTCGGCATTGGCCAGGACCTGTAGTAGCCAACAGGACACTTAATAACTGATGTATAGGTGCGCACTGTGTGTACAGAGCTTTACGTTAACCACCTCACTGTGTCATCTCGCTGAGGTTGTGTGGTTTACTACTGTTAGCACATTTTTAAGCGGGAAACCTGAGGCATGAGGAGGTAAGCAGCTTTGAGGAGGGTTGCACAGGTGTTAAGTAGCACGGTCAGCACCTGAGCCCCGGCACTCATCAGTGCGGCGGATGGAGGGGAATGCCTGCTGGAGGGGACCACGAACTAAAAATCGTAATCGCCCCCACAGGGTGTGCTCGCCGTGGCTCCTGTAAAGCTGTAAGGGAAGCTACACAGTCTGCAGCGTCGTTGCTGAGGGATCGCACAGTTCCCGTAGATTTTGCTGCTAGTTCTGGTGCACTAACCTGGATGGACTACTGTCTGTAGGGCCTGCACAGGGTCAGCGCTACAGAATTCAGGCCCGGCGTAACTACTTCCCCCTTCAGATCTTCACTTCCTGTTGGAACTGTCCTCTAGACTCTAGCCTCTGCCAGAAATAATTCATTTTGAATACCCTTGTAACTCCCAATTCCTTGATCTCCCATCATTCTCCTGGCAGGGTCAGTCCTCGGCCTTGTCCCCCCAAATTGCTCCTTCTCTGAATCCAGACTCTGAAGTTCGGCTCTGCCTACCTAACTTTAAGTTATCCCATGTGGCCTTACCATCAGCCTAGTCTTTGACTGCAGGGAAACCTCTCTTCCTAAAGAAGACACCTCTTTTCATTTATTCACTCTGGAAATGATTCAATGTCTGCCTGCTGCTGATGCTTTGCTCTCCACCAGGGGTTTTCAAAGTGTGCTTCCCCGCTCCCCCCGGGCCTAGAGCATCAGCATCAGGGAATTTGTCAGTAACGCACATTCTTGGGCCCCAACCCAGAACTACTGAATCAGAAACTTGGGGTGAGGGCCGGTCACGGTGGCTTATGCCTGTAATCTCAACACTTTGGGAAGCAGAGGAGGGCGAATCACCTGAGGTCAGGAGTTGAGGACCAGCCTGGCCAACATGGTGAAACCCTGTCCCTACTAAAAATAGAAAAATTAGCCAGATGTGGTGGCGTGTGCCCATAATCCCAGCTACTTGGGAGACTGAGGCAGGAGACTCACTTGAACCCAAGAGGTAGAGGTTGCAGTGAGCCAAGATTGCACCACTGCACTCTAGCCGGGGCAACAGAGTGAGGCTCCGTCTCAAAAAAAAAAAAAAAAAAAAAAGGAACTCAGGGTGACGCCCAGCCAGCTGTGGTTTTATGAGCTCTTCAGGGGATAGTGATGCGTGATCAAATTTGAGAAGCACTGGTCTAGGTCTTAGATCCTCTTGGTTCACTTTCCTCATTGGATCTCAGGAATGTTCAGCTACACTCTCAGGGCAACTTCTCACTTCACTTGACCTTCCAAGACCTCTCGTTCTGTCAAACCCCAATTTTGGATCAACCCACGCATCCTTCCCTCATGTGTTCCAAAGCTGGTCAGAGTAGTCTACACTACTATCTGCTTCAACTTCTGGTAACGTCTAAGCCTTCAACAGTTTTGCTTGTGAAACTGCTTCACTGAAGTTCTCCACCACCAAGTAGTCAGCTAGCATCAGAATTCGGCTTGTGTCAAATGGAACTCAACATCTTCCTCTTCAGGACATCCCCTATTTTCATCCTCCCGGTGAATGACACCACCAAGTTAAAGCCTGGAGGCTGCGTGTGCTGGCTCATGCCTGTAATCCCAGCAGTTTAGGAAACTGAGGTGGGCAGATGGCTTGTGCCCAGGCATTTGGGAGCAGCCTGGCCAACATGGCGAAACCCTGTCTCTACAAAAAAATACTGCTGGGCACAGTGGCTCACACCTGTAATCCCAGCACTTTGGGAGACTAAGTGGGCAGATCACCTCAGGTCAGGAGTTTGAGACCAGGCTGGCCAACATGGCAAAACCCCATCTCTACTAAAAATACAAAAATTAGGGCCGGGCGCGGTGGCTCAAGCCTGTAATCCCAGCACTTTGGGAGGCCGAGACGGGCGGATCACGAGGTCAGGAGATCGAGACCATCCTGGTTAACACGGTGAAACCCCGTCTCTACTAAAAAATACAAAAAACTAGCCGGCCGAGGTGGCGGACGCCTGTAGTCCCAGCTACTCGGGAGGCGGAGGCAGGAGAATGGCGTGAACCCGGGAGGCGGAGCTTGCAGTGAGCTGAGATCCGGCCACTGCACTCCAGCCTGGGTGACAGCGCGAGACTCCGTCTCAAAAAAAAAAAAAAAAAAAAAAAAAAAAATACAAAAATTAGCCTGGTGGGGTGGCATGTGTCTGTAGTCCCAGCTACTCGAGAGGCTGAGGCAGGGGAGCTGCTTGAACCCAGGGGGTTGCAGTAAGCCAAGATAGTGCCACTGCACTCCAGCCTGGTCTACAGAGCCAGACTCTGTCTCAAAAAAACAAACAGGCCAGGCATGGTGGTTTACGCCTGTAATCCCAGCACTTTGGGAGGAGGGGTGGGCGGATCACCTGAGGTCAGGATTTCGAGACCAGCCTGGCCAACATGGTGCAACCCCGTCTCTACTAAAAATACAAAAATTAGCCAGGCATGGTGGAGAGTGCCTATAATCTTAACTATTCCGGAGGCTAAGACAGGAGAATCGCTGGAACATGGGAGGCAGAGACTGCAGTGAGCCTGTCGCGCCACTGCACTCCAGCCTGGGCAACAGAGCAAGACTCTTATCTCAAACAAAAACAAACAAACACGAAACAAAAATTAGCTGGGCCTGGTGGCATATGCCTATAGTCCCAGCTACTTGGGGGACTGAGGCAGGAGGATTGCTTGAGCCTGGGAGGTTGAGGCTGCAGCAATGAGCTGTATTTGTGCTACTGCACTCTAGCCTGGATAACAAAATGAGACCTTGTCTCAAAAAACAAAAAAAAAAGCCGGGTGCCGTGGCTCACACCTGTAATCCCAGCACTTTGGGAGGCCGAAGCAGGTGGATCACAAGGTCAGGAGATCGAGACCATCCCAATATTGTGCCACTGCACTCCAGCCTGCCAGCCTGGGCAACAGAGTGAGATTCCATCTCAAAAAAAAAGAATAACTCACCCCAAACTTCCAGGCTTTTTTTTTTTTTTTTTTCCTTTGAGACGGAGTTTCACTCTGTCACCCAGGCTGGAGTGCAGTGGTTAGATCTCGGCTCACTGCAACCTCCGCTTCCTGGGTTCAAGTGATTCTCCTGTCTCCGCCTCCTGAGTAGCTGGGATTACAGGTGTGTGCCACCACACCTGGCTAAATTTAGTGTTTCTAGTAGAGACAGGGTTTCACTGTGTTGGTAATGCTGGTCTCAAACTCCTGACCTCAGGTGATCCACCTGCCTCGGCCTCCCAAGGTGCTGGGATTACAGGCGTAAAACTCCCATGCTGGGCTGGTCAAAGTGCTGGGATTACAGGCATAAGACAATGCACCTGGAACTTGGCTTGTGTCAAATGGAACTCAACATCTTCCCTTTTACTCAACCCCACCAACATCCACTGCACACAAGTTGTCTTATTCACTGGACTTCTAATATGTTTAAGGGGTCTGTCTCCATTTATTTTTTGAAACAGGGTCTTTCTGTGTTGCCCAGGCTGGAGTGCAGTGGTTGTTCACAGGGGCCAACCTACTATTGATCAGCAAGGGAGCTTTGGAGTTTTTAAAAAAATTTTTTAAGCCAGTCAAATTTAGCAGTGGGGGGTTGTATACCAACTTTAGTGACACTAATGTTATTAAATTCTAATAACCCACTACCATCAGACCAGCCCAGCATGGGAGTTTTGACCTGCTCCATTTCTGACCTGGGCTGTTTCACCCCTCCATAGACAACCTGGATGGTCCCCTGTCCTGGGAGTTCACTATATTGATGCTAAATTTAGTGTGGACACCCAAACTGCATAATGCATTACAGTGTAGAACTCCTGGGCTCAAGGGATCCTCCCACCTCAGCCTCCTGAGTAGCTAGGACCACAGGGTACACCATGGTGCCCAGCTGTCTTCCTTTTTTTTTTTTGAGACGGAGCCTCACTCAGCTGTTCAAGCTAGAGTGCAGTGGTGCGATCTCCGTTCACTGCAACCACCGTCTCCTGGGTTCAAGCAATTCTCCTGTCTCAGCCTCCTGAGTAGCGGGGATTACAGGCACCCACCATCATGCCCGGCTAATTTTTGTATTTTAGTAGAGATAGGGTTTTACTGTGTCGGCCAAGCTAGTTTTTAACTCCTGACCTCAGGTGATCTGCCTGCCTTGGCCTCCCAAAGTGCTAGGATTACAGGCGTGAGCCACCACGCCCAGCCCCCTACCCTTAAAAAAAGAAAATCTATATATGTATAATAGAGACAGGGTTGCGCTATATTGCCCAGGCTGGTCTTGAACTCCTGGGCTCAAGGGATCCTCCTGCCTCGGCCTCCAAAAGTGCTGGGATTACGGGCATGGGCTACCGCACCCTATCTGACATTTTTTTAAACTCAGAGCATACCTCATTTCAATTCTCCTCCTCTCTTGCTTTGATTCACATAAAATCTTTCTAACTGGTTTCCAAGTGTCTGCTCTTACGCTCCATATATCCTCATACTCTAGTCTGCTCCTACGAGCTTCAGCATCTTCAGCTCCTCTGCCTGGAATTTACATCTTTCCAATCCTGCCTTACAAATTTTCTATTATATAAGGCTCTGAATTATGAACTAGAAGTAATTTCCATGAAGCTGATGACTTTATCTTGCATATGGTAAGCTCTAAATCAA